TTCACGGAGCTTCTGTCTTGAACTGGTACTCGAGCTGGTTTCATTGGGGACTGAGGTCACGCTGGCAGCTCGCGGAGCGGCTCTAGTGTGGGGCAGACTGCGCCGCATTACACCGCTGCCCGGCGGGTGGGGCGTTACTGGAACGCCGGCGCCTAGCCTGTCACCGTTTGAGAACGGCGGGAGGGGATTGAAAATCCGCTATGTTTTGACTTGATTACATTGAATCTGAAGCTTAAAATGTAACAACTGCCGCGGTGACTTTTTCAAACGTCCTGTCAGAATCGATCAGCACGAGAACGGTCTGGGGACGGAGTGAACTGACCAGGGTTACTGCCACACGAGCTCCGGTAGAGTGCGAAGTGTGGGGTCGGGCAACGCTAGCCTTTATTCCGGTAAGCCGAACGCTTGCATGACGCTCTTCGGTGATCGCCGTCCTTTTGATTCTTATCGTCCGTCTCTAAAGAAGTTCAGACCGGTCTATTGTAGCCTACCTGACGCAAAACAGTTAGCCACAGCTTCACCCCCCCCCCCCCCAAACACACACAAATAAATAAATTTATAAATAAAGGGCAAGAGAAAGGGTCTCCAGTTGACAGCATGTCTGCTTTGTAGACTCGCGTCGCACACTTGGTGGGCCCGACAGACGGCAGACCCAGCACGGCTCACTCGCACCGTGGACCATCCGTACGCTCCGAGCGCAGTGTGACCGCTCGCTGTGATGTCACCACCTCACCAGCCGCGGCTGGCACGTTCCGGTGAGACAAGCCCGCCTGACAGACGCGGGCTAATTTCGACAGACTAGGAGCAAACTGAAAACGCTCCGCTGCGAGCCCATCCAACCCAGCCTAAGCGGTGTCGTGGCACCGCTGTGTGTCCGATCAGTGTGCCGACTGCACGGCGTGTGCGCCTGGCAGGCGCAGGCGGACGGCCGGCTGCAGGCGTTGCTGAACGCCGGCGCCGGCGACGCCCAGTACGACTACGACCTGGTGGTGATCGGCGGCGGCTCGGGCGGACTGGCCTGCAGCAAGGAGGCGGCCCGGCTGGGCGCGCGCGTCGCCCTCTGCGACTTCGTCAAGCCCTCACCGCAGGTGGGCGCGCTGTCCTCCGGCCGCCGGGACGGCCCGGGGGTCAGCTTGACTGCGGCAGCGGGTGCGGCTGTACTTGAGCCTTGTGAGAGACTGTCTCTGGCTTCTACATGTGACGCTGCTTAGTGCAGTTGCCAGCGTTGCCTACAGAGGAAAATATTTTAGCCGCGGTGTTGTTCTGGCGCCCCCTTCTTCCCCATGTTCCTCATCCTCCCTCCCCCGTGCCCGTCATAGGGGACCACTTGGGGGCTAGGTGGCACGTGTGTCAACGTCGGCTGCATCCCCAAGAAGCTGATGCACCAGGCCAGCCTGCTAGGCGAGGCGATGGGCGACGCCGAGAAGTTCGGATGGTCGGTCGATGCCCGTGAGTTGTGCGCGTTTGACATCGCCTGGCAGCAGCGCAAAACAGACGGCCGTGTCATTAAGCAGCGTTGTTTAGGTGGTGCCAACTCAGGAGCGAGCAGTCCTTTACACCCGGGGCTCTTCGTGTAAACAGCTTTTGAAACGAAATTCATTGCCCTCTCCATTCCGCCCATTCGTTTCCAAGAGCATTCCTTCGTTGCTTGTTAACTTCACAAGCTATTGAATCAACGAAAGATTCACATGTTTATACAACACTTGTTGCGTTTCTCGCAGTGGAGCAGCTTCACAGCATGCGCCTTCCCCCCAGCCTCGGATAACCGCATAATTAAATGATCTCGATTGGTCAAGACGAAGCAGCAGCCACTGACAAAACCACCATCCGTGATGCCGTTTCCAGACCAGCACAATTGGGAGAAGATGGTGGAGGCCATTCACGCGCACATCGCGTCACTCAACTGGGGCTACAAGGTGCAGCTGCGCGAGCGGCGTGTCACGTACCTGAACGCATACGCCGAGTTCGTGGACGCCCACACGCTTCGGGTAGGCCTGCTGCAGTCGCAGTATGCACTAAGTGCGTGAGTCATTGTGGGTTTACGGTGCACTCAGCTGCTGAGGCTATTTGGCGTTGCCTGCCTCTTGCCCTGGCGGGGAGAGCGGGCACCGCGGGGAATTGAAACACACGTGATGATAAAGGGTTTGTAATGATTGGTGGCAAACGCGAAGAGGCTGATTGTCAGAATTATTTTGCCTGCAGAAATGTTGCTGATCTCGACTACGCGAGCTTAGTTTTGAATGAAAACACTTGAATATATACATACATATATATATATATATATATATATATATATATATATATATATATATATATATATATATATATATATATCGAATTCTGTAGAGACGCTCACCCGTCCAGCCATACAACTAAAACGCCTTTATGCCTTATCTCTCACCTCCGGCAACGTTAAGACAAAATATGTGCCCAAATAACAGCCAGCATTCCAAAGCACCCTTTCGTAATGAGTTTTTAAATCTTCCGAATGTCTCGTCTCGTGTCTCTTGATAATAGGTAACGTTATGTAGGATAGTTATAAGATTAAAACTATCGTTAGATACACTTATGATAGTTGTTAGATAGATATTTCCTATCATTCGCGTGGCAATGGATATTTCTCAGCTCAAGCAAGCTGCTCTGAAATCCACTTAAAGCAAAATGAGGTTCCTCTCAATATTTTCGAAGCATCTTACAATCATTCAAAGATAACACGCCCTTGGCAATGTGGAGGCGTTTCGGTTCACAATTTAGACTATGATTTTCGTAACTTCAGCCCAAGGCACTACGACATTTACGAAACGTCTTGTGATCACTTAAAAGTAACACTCGCTTGACACTTGCGGAAGTGTCTCATTTCACAAGTTAGACCATGGTTTTCTTAGCTTCAACTTAAGGTACTCCTAGAAGACACTCATACATTCCTGGAACATTTTGTAATGATTCTAAAAATAATATGCGCCAGAGCTTTGTAAAGGTGTCTCACTTCATCATTTGAAGTTATTCTTCACTTAAGCTCAATGTTCTCCTACATGCCGGTGTCCTGGCTGAGGTATGATGTCAAACATTGGCCATGACGACGGCCACGTTCATCACTCACTTTAGAAACCTGCTCGTGACAGGAACTCGCATCGGGACGGAGCCTCCGCCATGCACGCGCTGGAGTGAATTCGGTCAAGATCTCGTAAGACTTGCATTCGCCAAATCCCGCGCCTGCGCTGTGTCCACGGCAAACGGTGACGTGAGCCCCTCCCCTTCCTCTCCCCCACCGCAGACGGTCGACAAGAAGTCTCGCGAGCGTCTGATCACGGCGAAGCACGTGGTGCTGGCGACGGGCGGCCGGCCGCGGCTGCCGGACATCCCCGGCGCCGCCGAGCTCGGCATCACCAGCGACGACCTCTTCTCACTGCCCAGCTCGCCCGGCCGCACGCTGGTCGTCGGCGCCAGCTACATCGCGCTCGAGTGCGCCGGCTTCCTGCGCGGCCTCGGCCTGGACGTCACCGTCATGGTGCGCTCCATTCTGCTGCGCGGCTTCGACCAGCAGATGGCCGAGCTGGTGGGCGAGCACCTGGTGCGGCGGGGCGTGCGCCTGCTGCGCCCGTGCGTGCCGACGCAGCTGGAGCGGCCCGACCCGGACGGACGGATCCAGGTGAGCGCGCCCACCGGCCGGCTGCCCTCTCACCCGGAGCGAGCTTTGAGAATGCCGAGGACGGTCGATGTATTATGAGCCAGGCCGGACGGATTTCACTTGAGCAGCGAGACAGCTATCAACAAGGGTGTAGTTTCGCAAAATGATTGGGGACGAGGGAGGAGGCTGAACATAAAACAACGGAGAACCGCATTCACAAACTACACTAATAAGCGAGTTTCTCCTCGGACTTGCCCCCCGTTTTTCTCAAAGTTGGGGGAGGGTCTGAAGCTCAACTTGGAGATGCGTCACCCACGCCCCAAATGAATAGGACACTACTTCTCTGGTTCTCAACATGAGGGGCCCGGCCCGACCTGGCCGTTATGCAGTGCAGACACTTACGATTCTGCGTTCACGGATGGTACCTTCATGTAGTCTTTACCACTAAAAGATACTGTTCGTGGAAAGCTATGATGTATAATTTGGAAGGAAGGTCTCCGCATATAGCACGTTAGAGCAGACATGGTTGATGGCGTGATTTGTCTGCAACATCCGCCCCGTACCGTACAATCCGGTTGAAAATGCAATCCGGCGCCCGCTGGCGTCAGGTGGCGGCTCAGACCGCCGATGGCGAGACGCTGCACGAGGAGTACGACACGGTGCTGTTCGCCATCGGACGCACCGCCTGCACGGCCAACATCGGCCTCGACAAGCTGGGCGTCCAGTTGGCGGCCAAGTGAGAGGCGCGCGCCGCCAGACGGGCCGCCAACGCGTCCGGCGCGGCGGTTCGTGCAGGGGACGGGGTCGCCCGCTGCGCTCGGCGGGGCGTCGACTGGCGCGCCGGTGGATCGCGGGCTCATACGAACCAGCAAACCGTGCGGCGTCTCGGGTGGCTGTGGGTTTCAGATGTTTTACCCCCCCCCCCCCCCGCGGACGTTGGGAAATGATCGCCGCTGCGGTCTGGGGAGTGCACAGCGCTGTGTCGCCGTCCAGCATGTAACGGCGTCCAGCGCGCGGCGATCATTCGCCGAGCGCTGCGAGTGGGGAGGCGTGTGCACGCTGGCACGCGGCGGCTCGAGCGTGCCGTGCCGTACCCCGGCAGGGACGGCAAGGTGCTGTGCGACGAGGCGGAGCAGTCGAGCGTGCCGCATGTGTACGCGTCGGCGACATGCTGAGTGGCCGGCCGGAGCTGACGCCGGTGGCCATACAGGCCGGCCGTCTGCTGGCCAGGGTGAGCACGCCGCCAGGCGCGGCCGTGGACAGCCGATACGTGTGTGTGGTGCGTACAGGGTCGGTGTTAAATGACGAGTCGAGCCAGGCCGGATCGTTGATGTTCGTGATCACATTGGATGTACTCCTACCTGACTTAATGTAATGCAACCTAACCATTAAAGTCATATAAGCTAAGGCCACGAGGTCAGATATGTACTGATTTTAAAAACTCAGAGCATGTGATTTTATCATGGCCGAAATAGACTTCAGCTCTATAATGTCTGATGTTCTGCTTAGTTTTGTGCGGATCGTAAGCCGCCAAAGGACACTTTGCTGAGGGACTTGTCAAAGCGTCTACGGCCTCTGTTACTGGTGCTCTATTTGTCTCGAGTTCTGGCCACTAGCTTCCAGAAATGTCTCCAAAATATGAGGAACGATAAAGGCAGTATGCAGTTGGTGCCATGCAATGTCCAACAGCGGCCTACCCCCGCCCTTTATTGGCAAAGTCGGCTAGCTCGCCGGGGTCGGCGACGTCTAATTGGCAAGCCCTCCTCCGAACTCGCAGCCAATGGTGTAGCCGCGCCGTTAGTGCGGTGGCGCGGGGCCTCCGGCAGCGGTGACCGTCGTTGCCCCCAGTCTAGCTTTTCCGTCCAATGATCCGCGTGCGCCGGCATTGGCACCAGGGGAATGCGTGTTTGTGAGCATGGATGAATGCTTTTTGCACCATTGGACTGTGGCATTGCAAGCGTAGGAGCGCACCTCGCTAGCTACTGTCCATGCCTCCCTTCCTTGCGGGCCCCTGTTTGAACCAGCCAGGCCGTCGCCTCACCGCGCCGTCACGACTGGTCGGACACTGAGCCCCCACCCCCTCAGCGGCTGGTGACCGGCGCCACCGCGCTCACCGACTACACCAACGTACCGACCACGGTGTTCACGCCGGTCGAGTACGGCTGCGTGGGTCTCTCGGAGGAGGCGGCGGTCGAGCGCTACGGCGAGCACGACGTCGAGGTGTACCACCAGTACTTCACGCCGCTCGAGCACACGGTGCCGCAGCGTGACGAGAACGCCTCCTACGGCAAGCTGGTGTGCGTCAAGAGCCAGCAGGTGAGTCACGGACGGCGCCGGGCCGGGGCAGAGGTAGGCGCGGGCCCGGACGACGGGCGGAGTGGAGGGCCGTCTGCTGCACACGCGATCAGCCTTTAAAGTCTGGACCGTGATGACTGTAGTCCTTCATATGCTCAGATTTAGCTCGTACGACAGCACAACATCGATGCGAAACCCGTGTATGTTTGGTGGCGTTTGGGGTCGGAATGGATCGATGCTCCTCATCGATCACACCATACTATACGGGTGTAATGTCGGGCTAGGCGTGGTAAGAGCGTAATCCAGAGCGGCTGACGTGCGGCCAGCAGCTGCACGGGGCGTGTGAGAACGTAGAGATATCTGCCTGCCGCGACGCCGCCGTTCCTCCGCGGGTCGCCGAGCCGTCTGGCGGCCGACCGGCCGGCCCAGAACTGAGCCCTGCCACCGGCCAGCAGGAGCGCGTGGTGGGCTTCCACCTGGTGGCGCCGCACGCCGGCGAGGTCACGCAGGGCTACGCCGTGGCCATGCGGCTGGGCGCCACCAAGGCTGATCTGGACGGCGCCGTGGGCATCCACCCGACCGTGGCGGAGGTGGGTCCCCCGGTCCGGAGTCGGCCGACTGGCCGGCGCTGCGGCGCGACGGCCGGACAGGGTTCAGTTCACGGTCCGGTCAGCTGATGGATGTGGTCCGACCGTGCTAATTTTGTCGCGGATTTTATTGAGGTGTTTCTGTGGGATTCGTGATGTCGTTTTTATCATCGTGATGAGCCTCGTCGGTCTTTTTACTCTCTACTACTGTCAAGGACTGACGACAAATGGGTACGGCCGTAAATACGACATTTTGGCCCCCGGGGCCATTGCGCCACCAATTCACCGACAGCCTGATCCCTGTCCGCAGCAATTCACGTTCATGTTCATCACCAAGTCGTCGGGCGCCAGCAGCAAGTCGACGGGCTGCTGAGGCTAGTGTCGCCGGCGCCGCGCGGTCCCGGCCGGGCCGGGGGCCGCGCCGCCGGCCGCCGCCCTGCACGGCTGACGGCCTCCGCGCGCCCCCCGGCGCCGCATGACGGCACGGTCCCAACCCTCGGCCGAGGAGGGCCGCGCCCGAGCTGCGGAGCGCCGTCACCGTACACCAGCGAGAGCTGCCGCTGCCCTCGTCTCGTCGCCCCGAAACAAACGATAGGTCTTGACCACGTCTGCCGCCAAGTTACTGCTGCTCTAATCCGTCTGTCGCTGTCATATCGCGGGGTTACTGATCTGTTGGATCTGTCAAGTCGTTATGGCAGTGTTGTTATGCGTGGACGGCAAAGTTGTTGCCGTTGTCAACACAGTAGTCTTTCATTGGCGGCAACAAATTTTCCGTAGCTTTGTGAAACGCAATGTGAAATCACGTACAATGCAAAGGTGCAAATACTTTGTTCGCGATGCATCGCTCATGCGAATGTCGTTATGTTTTTTAGCGACGTTGGTATTTTATTCCGAATATTTGCCGCTTGACAAAATGCGAAATCCTTGACAATGGAAGCGTGAAATACAAGTTTTTATCAGCCGTGTCCAATAGATGTTTCCCGAACTAAGTTCGCAACATTAATGTATCCTGGACTTTGTCATGCGGTTATCGTAGGATATTGAACTCGGTCTCAGATCTCAGTCTAAACGGATGCCAACGCCCGGTACCAAAACCCTTCCAACCCATGAAACCAGTGATACCCATGGACACTACAATCGCAATGCAGCGCCCAAACAAATGGGCAAGGTTATTATTAATCCGTGAGTGCCCCCATGACCTAACAGCCGTGATGCCTGTGGGAATATTTCCGATATGCTGGCTGTCCTGCAGCCACGGATCTCCCTTTGTTAAATCGGTTAGGGGACTAAGCTGACAAGGTCGACGTAACCTAGCCCCAAAACTCTGTTCCCCCTCGGATTCCCCTCATACGGACGAGAGCCTTTGCAACATTTGCGGTTATACTACCATCGCGTACCTTTATATACAAACAAAACTGGTGCTTTCTCGTTTGCTAAAACCGGTTCCTATTGCCACACCAATTGGTGAGGCGAGGTACCTATTGGTGCAGACTCACTGATGGCTTCTGCTGGCGCTGATCGTGTTCTCCATTCAACTGGCAGTGACGATTGTGCGATAAATGCAATTGTCGCCGTTGAGGGGGACGTGGGCCAACTTTTCAGGGTCAATCGGTACTTTCAAAAGTTGCCACATATGGCCGTCAATCGTTCTTTATCCCAATCCGGGTATCATGTGAAAAGCTTGCCAAACATTTGCAAACTGTCCAAACAAATGATTGAGTTGGCATGACAGTAACATTAGCCACATTCAGGATGCTGTTTGGTGCCAACTGAACATGCTACTTACGGTGATGCGTCTAGGCATTTAGTGCACGGGTGTCGATTTGTATTCTTTTGGGTGGGCCACTGCCCCCCAATGTTCAATCGGCCCTCAATGGCGAGTTTGCCCCCCCCCATGTTCAACCCCAAAAGCCGAGTTTGCCTCCCCCAACCTTCTGGGGCCCAAGTTCATGTAGGACATAACGAATAACAGCTCGAAATTATATAAGATTTGAAGAAGGCTTCTACTTGCTGCTTCACAGCTAGAAGAACCAAAAAGAAAATGAAACTGCGATACCACTTCCAGTTAAGTGCGCCTGACTACGTCAGTCGCACTTTTAAAACTGCGCGGTTGTTCCGCGTTTACTTGAGTTCTCTTGTTGTTTTTTGCGTACTTTTCGTGTTTTTAATACACGATTTAAAGCTATGGCCAAAAGTAGTCTAGTTTTGTGCTATTGTAGACATATTTTGTCATTATTCAGCGATTTTAAGTTACACAAACCGCGGCAAGCTGTGTTGCTTGGCTACGACGTTTTATCGGAAAATGAAAACAAAGCAAGCTACAAGCCGTCTACATTCGGAGGAACCGTTGCAATGTGTCAACCTCCACTTCAACATGCATATCCAATCAAACAGTTTGCAAACCTGGACGACAACCCAAGCCGACGACATCGATAGCGGGTAATCGTCCGACCATGACCACCAACACTAGCCGTGTCGAACATGCCTAACGGGAGTGATGCACCTGCACCCCACCTTGCGGCAGTCGGAGGGATTTTCATGGCAGACATTGTCAGTCACGCAAATCAACACAAGTGCTCCTGAAGCCGTTACGTCCAACAACGTTTGAAACCACATAACATCGACTCTACACCCATTAACGAAATCTGGCTTCGACGATCGACGTCAAAAATCATGATGATGCCCGACGGCAATGTCTTTCGCCGAGACAAAGCAAGCAAACGGATGAGACGAGGTCTGTCTATTCTGTTTTGTGGGAGGGGACTACAGATCCATAACATCACTGGGGGGAAATTGGAGCAAATTCAAGAGGTTATCAATTTTTAGTATATTTGACGTCTGTTTTTCCCGTTCAACCTAACCAGTCATGTTTTACGAAACTCACTACCGTGGTAATTTTAACCATCGTGACACACGAAAATTCGTCTCCACATTATACTCCGGTATCAGGTCTGGAACATAGGGCTCATTTACCAAGCAGAGAAAGGGCTGCGATCCGCGCTTTACATTAGTCGAGCTCCCTAAGTCAATAGTGGCTCCTGTGTCGGTCGAGGGGACCACAGTGCCTAATATGGGTCCAGTGATTGACAATGAGACCAGCGTCTGACTTGGGACGGCGTGTCGAGGAGCCCACAGAGGATCCGAAGGGTCCCCAGGACCGATGATCAAGTGCCGATTGGGGGGGGGGGGGGGGCATAAATGCAGGGCCGGACCATCAAAATGTCAGTTAAGGGGCCCCTTGCACCGATTAGGGACAACCCTTGGACCGTGCGGGCCTCTATTTCGGTCAAAGATCAACGGTCGGCTCTGTGCCGATCTAGCCATGGGGGGTCATTCCTAAGCAGGGAGCAAGGTGGGAACCCCGCTATTAATATTGAGCTTATCTGTGAAGAGATCAACAGCGACAGCAGCCACGAATATACAGATTTCACGTTTACTTGTCTAGTTCTACCATCCAGTTCTTGCAACGGATTCGAGGTCCTATAAATGCTAATCCGGTTTATATCATAATCGAATAATTGCAGAGATGGACAATACTTTCGGAACACCTTCCAAGCGTTCCAATTGACATCCTTACGCGTTCAAAGGTAACTTGCTTTCGTAAACGTTGCCGTTTTCGTCCGTCCGTGGCCACCGCCTAGTGTTAGACACGGAACCAACGCGGCACGGCCTCTGGAGACGGGAAACGCTTGGCGTCGGGGTTTTGTTGTACGATTTGCGGGCGCACGTGACTAAAACTGGGCTATGCTATTCTTCCCTTACTTCATTCTGAGCAATGTTCAGCATTCTGAGACCAAAGCAGCTGATGTGTGAATGCAAATTCATTGCCTTATTTTGATCTAAGATCCACGTGCACGATGCCCTGTACAACCCAGAAAAAAAAATCCGGTTCAGCCCCTGAGTGCTATTGGCCTTAGAAAGAGTCCACCGAATCATTGTAGAATGGATGACACCGGCGTGTTTCCTGTTGTTAATTAATTAAAAATACAAACAGCATTGTATCTATCGGTGACTTCTGGCTTTTAAGAAGAGCAGGGCTCCCTTCGAAATCAAGTGGGCCGTATCCGATGACTTCTTTTATTTTGGGTGGGGCCTTTTTCCCAGGGGTAGGGCTTGGTCAGCCCTGTGTCCCACCCCACAGTTACCAAGGCTGTCTGCGTCCCTGCGTCGGTACGCTCATTGAGCATCGAGTATCCGTACGTAAGTTTAAGATAACTGAAACCCAGCTCAACCAGCAACCCAGCAACCAGCGACAATCAACCCCGCATTTAGCATGACATTTGAAATGACGGGTGCTTCATTTTCACATGCTAGAAGTGAAACGGGTGAGAGTTGCTTTCCCTTCAGAGGCACAACAGCTTAGAAGAATGTCCCCCAGTTGTATGGCTGCCTTGCATTCCGTTTTCATTGAAGATAACGTGGAAAGAAGATTCTCAACAGGAGAGCATCTGCCTCGGCGTATTTGCGGAAAGGTTGAAAACCATACTTCTAACTTATGCTGGAATGAATATCAACGGTATTTTACATGAATTCGTTAACATTGACACTAAATGCATAAGTTTCAACGGTGAAATTTCGTTGTAGTGAGAACTTGTGTGTAAATGTGCTATGATAGCCCACACATATTGTGTACACTGGGATGTCCGTGAATCATGGTTGAATATTCTGACATTTGCAAAGTTGAAAATCGGCCGGTAATTTTTGGGTGATATCGAGCTCGCCGTTCTTTGACTCAGCTTTTGACGCTTGAAGGTCACATGATTGTTGCAAAATAAGAGTCGTTCTTGTAGCGTTTCATTCATGCCACAAATTGAACTTGTAACCAGACTTGAGGGAAATCGGAAGCTCGTCGCTGAAAAAAATTAAAAATCGCTGAATAAAATATTCGCTAACTTCACGGGCATTGCAATGGTACAAAATCAAATTCTTGTAAAACGAATGCCCGAATACAGACATCCTAAGCACCATAATAAGACCAAATAATACACAAACCATATTTGTTTCGTATGGAACGAGGGCTGCGACCCGCATCCCTTCAGCTTCACACAACAAACAGGCCCATTTATGAGAAGCAGATGCAATATGCGAGGCTTCCATGCGTGATTGCTGTGGTTACGCCATACGAAGCTTGAAAAAAGCCTGTAAGCCATCGCACACACACACACACACACACACACACACAACACACACACACACACACACACACACACCTATATATATATATATATATATATATATATATATATAACCAAAACATATTATATATATATAACCAAAACATTAGGAACAAATCCGGAAAGGTTTTGGCTCGTCCCCTTACGACGACTTCCTCGAATCTGCCCCCCTCCCAAACCATGTTCAGAAATCGACACCCACGGCTTCGTGTA